GGGGGGGGCGGGGGTGTTGCTTAGAGATGTCATCAGCTGCAGACCAACTCTGATACAGAAGCAGGGACCCCATTGTCTCTGCTTTTATCCGAGCTGGCTTTTGACTCATAATTGCATACTCCCTTGAAACAGCTCTTTTGGTTGTTATTCAGCTCTTGTGTAGTTAACTTATTCTGTAAGGGTCTTACCTCTATCTAGATGGTAAGGGGACAGGATAGGTTAGAACCATACATAACACCTCCCTGTAGCCCTCACCGAACCTAAAACAGCGCCCTGCAACTAGCAGGTTTCATTAAATGCCAATTGAGTTAATCAATGAATCATTATCATTTGGGAATGGGAGAAGGAATCCGTATTGAGGGCCTCATGGATGCCAGGTGCTTTAATGTTGTATTGTGTAAAATAGCTTAAATGAAAGATGGATATTACCCCCATTTTACAGAGGACATTAGCTTGCCCAAGGGCCCAAAATAAGTAAGCAAAGGACAGGCTTTGAGCCCAGGTCTGGTCCCAGACCCGAGCCCCCACTTTCCCCCGGCCACACACTAGGGGCCCAGCACACCAGCTCTCCTTATCAAAGGCTTACCTCCAGGAACTGCCCTGGCCCCCGCGGGAGGCTCTGTATTAAACATGATGGCATTGCCCTGAGAAGGAACAGAGAAACAGATGGGCACGATGTCCTTTGATGCCAGACCCTGTTGGGTTTCCTAGCCTTTTCCCTTCCAACCCACCCTGGACCCTGTCTCCTTCTCCAGGGAAGTCTGAAAAGCCAACCAGGCTGGCCGTCCCTGACCTGTAGCAGCTTCTGGAGCCGGAGAGGAGTCCAGTCCCGCAAGTAGAAGAGGCAGTCTCGAGGGTGGTGGCCATGGAGGGACTTTTTCACTCGGCAGTTAGGGTCTGGACATTTCTAGAGGAAATCCAGATGGAAGAGGGGGAAGTTGGAGACTACTGGGGTCCTGACTTCTCAGGAACCCTGCATAAGAGGTATAGGGGTTGGGGGTGATGGAGACTTTGGAAGATCTGGAGCAAGCCAGGGGAAAGGGTACAGAGAGAGGTGCTTTATACCCCACTGACCTCCTCTTCTCCTCCCCTGAGCAATCCTCAATGGTCTCTGCCCCCCAAACCCTATGGCAGCCCCCCTCCCCTTCTATCCCTTCCACCCCCTCCAGGCTCACATTCTTGGCGTAAAAGGCATTGTAGCAGCCACTGCAGAACTGGTGGCGGCACTGGGTGCAGTGAAAGTGCATGCAGCCTCCTCGGGCCAGTGCGTATGAGAACTTGCACTTGGGGCAGTCTGCAAGGGACAGGGGGTCAGAGCAGGGACTACCATTGCTCCTCTAGGCCCTCAAGAAGAGAGCCATAGGCAATGACAGACTACTGGGCAAACAGGCCAAGCAGGGCAGCCTTACCAATTCCATTTTCCTGAAGGTACATCGCCAGGCCCTGGGCCTGGTATTCTGGGTCATTTGTGCGTTTCCAGTTCTGGAAATCCTCACAGCTCCGGCCTCGGTGCTGCTCCTCCCACTGCCAGAAGGAAAGCAGGTTTCACATGGAAGTTCAATCCCAAGCCTCAGTCCTTCTTGCTGGCCCCTCTACTCACATCCAGCAGTACCCAGCTTAGTTTATGTCACCACCATCCACTGTTTGATTAAATCCAAAACTGGGGACCCATCCTGGATTCTTTCATACCCTCAAACACCCTACGTTCACCAGCAACTCTGGTTGTTCTACCACTCAAACCTCTCTCAATCCTGCCCCCTTTTTCTTCATCCCTACTGCTACCATCTTACCCCAGGCCATTATCAGGTCTTGCCTAGATTACCAGTCTCCTGCTCCTCTACAGTCCATTCTCCACACTGCAGCCAAATGGCCTTTAAAAACGGAATCAGTAGATCCAGTGATATTGGTAAAATTCTAGTTTTCAGGTTTAGAGGTAGGGTCTCAGGTGCTCATTTTATTATTGTGTTTTATCATGTAAATGAATTGCTTTGGTATTGAAATCAGCCTTTTAAAAGGTAAATGAGACAGCATCACCCCTCGCTCAGCCTCAGAATGAAAGCAAACACCTTCCTCACCTGGCCTCAAGGCCTCTCCTGACCTGGCAGCTACCTCCTCTCTAGTCTCTTGCCACTCTCACCCTTGCTCTTGAGGCTCCAGCACACAACCCTTATTTTCTTACTTTGGACTTCTCATGTGTTGTTCTTTCTGTCCCAAATACTCTTTGCATGGCTGGCTTCTTCTTAACCTTCAGGCCTGGGCTTAAATGAAACCATTTTAGAGAAGACTTGTCTGACTTCTCTATCCTAAGCAGGTCCGTTCTGTTACTCCTTATTTCAGATTCCTATTTGTTCTCCTTATAGAACTTATACCTAGTTATAATTATTTGCTTCTTCTCTTCCTTTCTTTCTTCCCTTCCTTCTGCCCTCTCTTCCTTTTTTTGCCTGTCTCTCTGACTAGTCTGTAAGCTCTTCGAGTGCAAAGATCCTGTCCATTTTGTTCTCCAAAATGCCCCCAGTATCTAACACAGTACCTGGCAGTAGCTAAGCAAGAATTTTTGAAAGGAAGAGTATGCCCTCACCTGGCGCTTGCAGCGCACACAGAAGGTCTGGTGACACTGGGGACATGTTGCCTCCAGCTGTTCCCGCTCATAGATGAAGCCAAAGGAGCACTGTAGGTACAGGAGCATAAAGATATCCAAGGTCTGATCTGTTACCATCCCCTGACTCTCCACGGTCAGCTCCCTTGGGCAGGCCACTTACCTGAGCGCACCACAAGAACTTGGGGTCCCGCATCAGCACACCTTCAGTCAGCTTCTTGTGGAACAATGCATAGGCATCTGGCTCTAGACTCTCCCGAAGCTGGGGACAAGATGCAGGGGTGGTGGGTAGGTAGGGCTCTTGTCCAAAGCCCAGGGCACCCTGAGTCCTAGGGGTTGCAGTACCTGGATGTCAAGCGTAGAGAAGTAGCTGAGCAATTGTGTGTCATCGGTGAGGTCTGGGCGGCCACAGGCAGGGCACACCATGTCCGTGATGTGCTTCTCCTTCAAAGCAATGGTGAAGTGCTGGCGGAAGCAGTCAGGACAGATGGTGCACTCACAGGAAGTCAGGGCCTGCATCTAGAGGGGGAGATGGGAGGAGACAAGGGGGTCAGAGGCACAGCTACTAGGCTGGGGAAGCAGCAGCAGCCAGGTGTCTATTGAGGCACCAGACTCTAACTGACAGCTGGGCAGGGCTAGCAACCTCAAATGGCACCAGGTGCCCAGGCAGGCAACCTAAATGTGTGAAGACAGTCAAGTGGAGGAACACAGAAAACGGTGAGACCTAAGGTAGACAGAAGAGTGCATGTCCCACCTCTAAAGACATTCACATTCAATTAAAAACAAACTTATAAATAACATCCTTGAAATGATAAAACTGCAAAGACGGAGAACAGGTTAAGTGGCTGCTAGGGAACAGGGACGGGGGTGGGTAACAAATATAAAGGGGTAGCATGAGGGAGTTCCTGTGGTGATAGAACTGTTCTGTATCTTGACTGTGATAGTGGTTACATGAATCTATACGTCAGATAAAATTGCACAGAACACACACACACACACAAGTAACCGCATGTAACCAATGGTAAAAACTGAACAACATCTGTATTCTAGCTAACACTGTACCAATGTCAATGTCTCGGTCTTGACGTTGTACTATAATTATATAAGATGTCACTATTGAGGAAAGCTGAGTAAAGAGTAAACAGGACTCTTTTTGGAGCTTCCTGTGAATCTACAATTATTTCAAAATAAAAAGTTGGAAAAAAATACAGAGCCTGCTTAACTAAACAGGACTGCATTTAGCTCTACCAACTGAATATTTGATGA